AAATCCGAGTCAATTCCGGTACGTAGAACCGGCTGTCGTGGGAATTGTCGTCGACGTCGTCCATTGGTAGGCACAGGAAAAAATAAATGTATGATGAATTTTCTGTACCATCGTCTTCAATGCGAATGTATGAAAATCCAAAGTTTATACTTATGCAAGTACAACTATTTTGCACCCTGTTGGATTCCCCCTAACTTTCGATTTTAATAAAAAACTACTTAGCAATAGGGTTAATCACACTCCAGCTCTGAAAGTATTCGACGCAATACCCGCCGAGGGAAGCAGAGGAAGAGGAAGACCTCCACTCCGTTGGAAGAACTTGGCTACGCTTGGGATATTCAATTGGCGCCACGTATTTAGGGCACAATAGACCCTAGGTCGCGGTGCATTACCTCAAATAACATTATCTATCTTGGCGCCACGTAGCGAAAAGAAGAAACGACTGGCGCTCTGTTGTTAACTCGGCTATAATCACGTAAGCGGTGTCTACACCAATTAAGAAAAAGAATATGGTTAATTTTCCTTTACAAATTATTTCTTAATCGTACATATTTACGAATATAAACGATTGATTCCCTATGCTTATCTACGCACAAAATACATATATTGTATATGCACCTAGGCAATGAAAACGAAAGTAATCATGTGCCGTAATACTCGTGCTTACAAAAACAGCTGCAACAACTTGTTTACCCCTTTTGGCGTGTTAGTCGAGCTTCAGAACATTTTCGAAAAAAGAAAAATGCAAAGCGAAACCAGAATGTATAACAATAATATAAAAAATACATTGTGTAGAAATAATAGATATATACGAATTTTAACAAAGCACAGTATTTCAAAGCAAATAAAATTACGTCGCGCCAGAGACCGGCCGCCGAAAAGGCTAGGTGATCTGTCTGTCCGGCTGGGAGTCCATACGTCAAAATTTTTTAAGCCATCGCACACTAGTCTTTTGTCAGTCCAACTTATTGCTTACTGACGATGGTGCTGCTATTTGTATTTGAAATTTGTTAAAGTGAAAAGTGTGATGACGTGATGGGACGGTAGCTCGGAGGGTGCTATTGTGGCGATATTGTTAAGCTGGTGCGCATATCCAAACATTCGTACACATATCGTTACATTTTTGGTATGATGACGCCATCCCTACATTGTCGATTCAAATTTTATTTCAGTATCAGATAGCCTAAAGTTTAGTGGGTAACAACAACAATATGGAAAAGTAACCTACAGTTGGAAATATCGGGATGTGTGGTAAGTAAAAGACGACAGCAGTGTGACTTTATGTGTGTGTTTGTGTGGAACCCGATTTTCTTGCCCTACCCGCATTTACAAACAACATCTACACATGCAATGTAATTTGTGAAAGAATTAGAATAATAGTAAACATGAAAAGAAGAAATGAAATCGGCGGAAGAATTAGGTACAGTAGCACTTATAATTTTTAAGTTCATTAAACAATCGTAATCTTCATTGAACGAGAGAGTTAAAGTTACTCACGTTTGATTTTTAACATTATATTAAATTCAAAGTTCATAAACGTTAAAAAATAATCAATCTATCTCCTCTTTCTTAGTTCTTATATAGTGAATTCCATAAAAATGTATGTATATACTATGTACATATGTACAGTTGCGGTCAAAGTCTTAGTAGTGATAGGCATTCATTTAATATATGTACATATGTGACCAAACTTTTTATTACATCTTTTTTGTTGGGATGCATTTCAAAATATGTTAGCTTCAAATGTTGACATGAAAATATGCAACAACGTTCGTTTGGCTTGTTGCTTTGTTACAATTGCGGGACTTTTTATTTGCACCGCGTTTTCGGCCAAAATCTTAGTAGTGCCTGAAAGAAGTCTTTGAAAAATTAAAATTATCTGCAATTTTTTGTGAATATTTGAAAACAACGGTGAAATTCATTTATTTAATTGAAATTTTCGGTTTTAATGTTAAAATTTTACTTTTATGAATTTAGAAATGTCGAAAAATAAGAATGTACGCCTGAGAAGTGCCCCCTGATAAAAAAATTGCTTTCTGAGGGCAAAACAAATGTCGAAGTCCAAAATATTCTTAGTTGGTC